AGACCGGTTCACCTCACCAAGCGTACGAGGACGAAGCGTTAGCAAATCGTCGCAAAGTTCGTCAAGTCCCGTCCGTCGTCACTCAAACTCTCGCTCGAGTTCAAAATTAGGGCGGAAACCTGTTTCAGATTCGACAAAGTCTTCAGGTACTCGTTCACGACATCTCACACCTCACCCGCGCAGCCCTATGTTGGTCAACACAGCAAGAGCAGATATTGAGGACAGCAATACTTCGGAGAACGATGAAATTGTGTTCATTCACAGGACTGACGTGAGTTCGACCGAGTTCTCATCTCGATTGATGATTATCCCTGTCACCGTCTGCAATGAGAAAATCATCAGAAAGAGTTAGTTTATGCACTCATTGACACTGGCTTTACAAGAAGCTTCATTTCATGCTCTCTTGCTAAGCAACCCAATTTGCCATCCTCATTAAACACCTCCTATATTTTGACCACCTTCGGAGGCAAACAAGAAAAACGCAAATCTCAGGAAGTTAACGTATGTCTCCTTGATCTCTATGGACGGGAGGTTCGCATGAACTTTTTGTCAGTAGACATCATATCTAACAGTATCCTTCTACATTGTCTCTCTACGGCAGACCTTAATTATGCTCAACAGAATCTCACGACTGACAGTCTTCTCAATCAGACTGATATCGAATTGTCACCAGATTCTCATAGGAATAGATTACTACAACACTATCATGAACGTAACCGAAACACCATTGCAATTACCATCTGGATTTCAAGCCATACCCACTATCTTTGGTCACGTCATAACAGGCATGAATTGGTCTACGCAAGATTCAGAGTCTGACCAAACAGATCGTCATTCCTTTATGACGATTCTACCTGACCATGAGACCCTTCCCGATTTCTCTCTAATGTGGGAGTTAGAAGGAATCGGAATAACGGACATTGCAAATGAAGACGAAAATCAGAAGATTTTGAAGGAATTTTACGATACCGTTGAAATACGGAATAGCGCAATATATGTGCAATTTCTATGGGAGCCGAATAAAATAGAGTTAGAAGATAATTACAAACTAGCTATCAGCAGGTTACACCAACTCTACAGTTCCTTGCAATCGAAACCCGAAATTTGGTCACAATACTGTAACATAATTCAGGAGCAACTTCAGCGTCAAATAATAGAAGAAGCTCCTGAAGAAGGATCAAATGAGTGTCCCATCTACTATATTCCTCATTAGGCAGTCGCCAACCCACTAGTACTACCACGAAAGTGCGAATCGTACTAGATGCCAGCTCCAAAAGAATCGGGCAGCTCTCACTAAATGATGTACTCTATCAAGGGCCTACAATCTTGCCAAATCTTCTAGGGATACTCCTTCGCATACGCTTCGGAACATTTCTTATTGCCGGTGACGTTGAAAAAGCCTTTCATATGATTCATCTTCAAGAATCGCAACGAGACGCAACTAGATTTCTCTGGTTGAAGACCCCTAACTGTTCTCCGTCACCATCGAATATACGTAAACTGCGATTTACAAGAGTGCCTTTTGGTACAAAGGCTAGCCCTTCACTATTAGCTATGTCTTTAAAGTACTCGCTAGAGCGAAATAATCGAACGAAACTGTGTAGTGAAATCTCACGAAATTTATATGTCGACAACGTAATTCTTTTAGCGGATACTATTGACGAGGCGGTCGATAAATATCGTAAAAGTAAGAACATTTTCGAACACATGTCTATGAACCAACGCGAGTTCGTAACTAACGACACCAACATCAGATCGCAAATCTCGGAACAAGACAGATCGCGTAATCCATGTTCAAAAATACTAGGCGTTTCGTGGAGTCCTTCCACTGATCTTCTCGTTTTGCAATCACACATACCGCACTACGAAGTAGTAACGAAACGTAATATTTTGAGAGCCGTCCACTCAACTTTTGACCCCCTTGGACTCTTAATTCCGTTACTACTACCTGCGCGAGTATTCTTACAGAGTCTGTGGCTAAAAAAGTATGAATGGGATCAACCCAACGGAATCGGAAGTTGAGCAGTGGAAAAATATCGTAAAAAACACCGAAAATTTTAAGAAAGCCATTCCACGTATGTTGGGAAGATTGCAGAAGCATGGCGTTTACTACACATTTACCGATGCATCTGCAAATGCATACTCAGCGTGCTCTTACATCAGACACGTTTCTGGTTCCTTGGTAGCGAACCCGAGCTTTCTTTGCGCGAAGTATCGCCTTCTCCCGTGAATCAGCTTACCAGCTCGAAGACAGGTACCATACCAAGACTGGAACCCTTAGCCCTCTCGATTGGGTCGCAACTCACCGACTTTGTCCGCAAAGAGACGTCACAATCAGCAAAGTAAAAATCTTCTCAGACAGTAAAATTGCCCTGCATCAAATCCACTCAGGAAAAAGTGCAGGCACTTTCGTAATTAATCGAGTTAAGAAAATACGTGCTCTGCTCACATCATGGAAGGACGCAAATATCGAAACTTCTCTCTACTACGTCAATAGCAACGAGAACCCCGCCGATTGCGTCACGAGGGGTGTAGATAGCCACTTCTGGTGGCACAGTCCGCTATTTCTTCACCAAAATGAATCGTCACGGGAACAAACGGAATCATTCGAAATGAAATACAATGATACGGAAGTAGCTATACAACTCTGCATCAAGAATGCACTCAAGAAGTTCCCAATGTTCCGCTATTCACTCTTTAATTTTAACAAAAAAACGATCGACAGCTATCGTTCTGAAATTTCTCAAGAAGATCGGAAAGAATCGATATTGCGGACCGTTTCAAGCCGGTCAAGAAACATTATGCAACGAAATCTGCGAAATTTCCGATTCTAACGAAATAAACGCTAGTGACTTGATTGTGGCTGAAAAGGCACTCCTCCGTGATCACTACTTAGGGTTATTCGAAAACCAGCGCAAATCATTTCAACATCTAAAATTGTCTGCGGACAACGGAATATATCGCTGCCTTGGTCTATTAGCCAATTCGCACCTGGGGTTTGACGCAACAAATCCCATTCTTTTAGTTCCAAGTCATATATTAACGAAAATAATTGTAATGCATGCTCACAAAAAGTGTGGACATCAGGGAGCAGCTGGCACCCTTGCGGAACTACAGTCGAAATATTGGTTCCCAAGGTACGACAAGTCGTAAAGAAAGTCATAAAGTGCGTCATATGTAAAAAAGCACAAGGCCTACCTTATCAATATTCTTCAACACCAGCTCTACCTTCAGAGCGAGTGTCGCTTTCACGACCATTTGAAAATATAGGTCTCGATTACGCAGGTCCATTCATAGTGAAGATGGAAGGAAATCAACACGGAAAAAGATGGGTATGCTTATTCACGTGTATGGCTACACGCGCAATCCATCTAGAAATCGTAAATGACTCTCCGCCCTAGAATTCGTAAATGCGTTTCGACGATTTGTCGCACGCAGAGGAACCCCACGCACAGTGTTGTCGGATAATGCAACCACATTCACCGCTGGTAACGATCTCCTTTGCAACATATACAGCGAGTTCAAATCTTCCAAAGAAATCTCAGACTTCAATTCGCAATACGGGGTGTCTTGGACTTCATAACGCCCCTCTCACCCTGGAAAGGTGGTTTTTACGAACGCCTAACAATTTCGTTGAAATCATGCTTACGCAAATCGATACAAAAAAGATTCCTTTCTGACGAAGAATTTCGCACGGTTATCACAGAATGTGAGGCTCTCGTAAATAGTCGCCCGTTGATCATCGAACTTTGAAGAAGGTAATCCAATACGCCCGATAGATTTTTTGCATCCACACGCAAAAATCTCTATGTGGAAATTCGAACCGGACTACGATCCTGTTTGTCGTCTTATCTCTAACCGCAATGACGCAATTAAACTATTGGACGAAACGAAAGCATCACTAGCGAAATTCTGGCAGCTATGGTCTGAGACGTACTTAACGACCCTGCACAATTTTCACATAGAAGAATCTCGAAAAAGAGCAAGAAAAATTGAGCCAGTTGTGGGCTCTGTCGTACTTTTACAGAATCAAAACTCCCCACGCATGCAATGGAAGATGGGCATAATTCAAGAGTTATGCCCAGGAAATGATAATCAAATAAGAGCCGTAAACGTGCGCTGTCTTAACGGAAAAATAATCAAAAGGTCCGTCAATATGCTTATTCCACTAGAATTGTCTGCAACGGACGATATAATAACGAAAACAGCAGAGGAAAGTCCACAAAAAGAATTGGAGTCGCAGGAATGTGAAAGACGAAAGCAACCGGATTGTAAGGCGAAAAAGAAAGTATCGTACGCAGAATACACCAACTTGATCCCAACTACCGTACCAAATTTCGCCATTTTGATGAGCATAGCCATGTTATTAAGAATAGTCGGAAGAGCTGCTTCAACGAGCTGAACCGTATGTCAAATCTAACGAAACCGGTCGCAAAGTGCGTAAAAGGAGCATTTTTCTCAAAGCACCTACTCCGTTTTCTGACATTCAAGTCTGTGCGGATGACCACTGCATACACACAACAGTATTTCAAGACGAAACAAGTATAATGTTCCCTGCACAAGTGTGTTTGCACGAGCATAACGTTCGTGTTAAGACGAAATCTAACAACGAGATTGTAGCAAGCAGCATATTATGCCCACCAAGTCCTTTCTGCGAAATGATCGAATGTTACTTCTGTCTCGTAATGATGACCAACCCATAATGCTGCCCAAAAACAGCTATCGCAATGATCGGAATTTCTATGTACATCCTCGCTGTCTCTACAGCGCTAACACTTTGTTTGTGTCGGCGCATCGGAAGATGTTGCCGCGCGTTTCTCGGCTTTTGTTTTCGATACGTATCTGCGCATGAGCTCGAAAGCTCGAACGAAGAAGTCCCATTAGTTACAGTTTCTCGTCAGCGTGGAAGATTTAAAAAGTTTTCCTTCGTCAATGTGGTTACTTTATTTGCTCTCGTTACTATCGTCCACCTTTCACAATCTTGCCAACTCACATTTCCTATGTCAACAGAGGCACTAGTCTGTCCAGAAGCTTCTTCGAACTGCTCGCTCATCACGACGCAGTCGTTGAAAATCAACCCTTTGACTCGTGAAGCGTGTATCGTAATTTCATCAAAAAATTCGATTCTCGAACAGATTAAAATCAGCTCAATGACGTTGCTCTTACGTGTAATAGAAAAACCCTATATTACACTCGTAAAACCATCACAAAGCTACAATCTCGCAAAAGATGCCCTAGCAGAGGGAGTTGTGGTAGTCGTAAATGTGGGTTAATTAACGACAACAAGTCTTGTTAGTGAACTTACGGAAGCCAATGCGTACCCTGGAATAACAAATCGTACGGAATCATGTGGATTCTGGGGTTGTGACTGTGGTTTTCCATCTTCGGGATGCCTTTTCTATAGAGTTTATAAAAAACCCGTAAGCTCCGAAATATACGAAATCTTTCAATGCCCCACCTGTTACGAAACCGTGAGCGTAATTCTCGAAATTTCTCGCTCTTCTGGCAAAACACGAGAGTACTTCCGCAATCTTCAACCCAATGTTCAGAAAGCAATCTTTGATGACGTAATATCGATCACAAACTTAGCCGTACCTCCAATACCTCTTTCAAACTCTCAATTCATTCGAAAAAATCAAACTATTGCAATGATTCCGTCAAACTCGCAATCCACATACGCTTGTGCAAATCGTAATTCTACTCATCTCGAAGAATGTATCGTAAAGGACAGTTGCACATGTACGCCAGCGCAAAATGAAGTTAATTGTTATTGTACAGATGATCGTATTGATGAAATGTTTACTTTACAATCTATTCTTCCGCACACATACCCTAATTTCGCACTTTCGTCAAATCCACATTCTCAATCCAATCCAACTATACGAACACAATCCGCCTCCTTGGAAATGTCGCTAACGCTTAATATATCTAAATCACGTATACGCAACATCGTAAGCCATTTCTCTTGTTCCATATCAGTCCCTCCATTACAAGGATGCTACGGGTGCTTGAAAGGCGCCTTAGCCACCTTTACTTGCCGTTCAAGCATCAATAACGTCTTGGCGCAAGTGGAATGCTCCACGCAAGCTTTCGCAATTCCGTGTTCTCGTACCCGAAAAGAAACTCCTATTCGATTATTCTATCCGACAGCTCGAGTAAATGATAGCTGCACCGTTCTTTGTGGACGCAACTAGCTTCCCGTTAACGTTCTCGGGCATTTGAAATTCATGAACCATTTCCGTACTCTCCGTAAATTCAAACAGCTCGTAAAATTAGAATACCATCCAGACGAAAATTCGGAATTCTGGTTCCCCGATATCTGTCACTTACTCGACGTAATAGAAAAGTATTTTATTTATTCAACTGCAGTAGTGATTTCCTCTTCATGGCCAATTTCTTCACATTGCTGTGATTTCGAAATCACTTCCAACATCACTTGACACTCATGACGAAATTCCCCTGTTTCGGCCATCATTCATTACAATCATTTCAATTCTGAGATTTCTCTGTCACCTCATAAGCAGTATCATTCGTGCTTTTTTAAGAGTCATTTTTCAAATATTTCGAATTTTTAACCTTTAACTCGTCATCGAACATCGCATACTCAAATGACACCAACGTTTCGTGCACTATCATAAGTAAGCGCATTGTTTAAGAATGTCGTCGAACCATTCCGAAACGGATGGTATGGAATTCACGGAGGGAGTCCCTCCAGCCGTAGAAGAGACGGTACTTCCTCTAACGTAAGCAAGGTCGTAAAGGAAACTACAGCTGCGGCACTTCGTTCGATCATCGCGGATCTTTCGCAGCAATTAACTAGACTACGGCAAGAAGCTTCGTCAAAAAAGGTTGGTAAGTCCCATTTTGCGAATGTCAATGTCCAATGCCCAATGTCAATGTTCCTCAAGGAAAAAAATTTTCTTGAGAAAAAACCGTGGTCTGCTCATCGCATTTGTGCTCCTTTGAAAAAGAGAAGACGAACACATAAAATGGTCAGTATCGTAAAGTAGCACTCCTATGTCGGTTAATTCCACTTTCCAGAAGATCGCTCAAGACGCTAAGAAGGAGATCAAGGAAATTGAAGACCAACTCCGAGCACTGCTTAATGAGTCGTCAACGTCAACGGAAGAGACCATCCGTTCACCTTCGGTCGTCACCGCTGGACCGTCAGCCGTCGTCGCGCAGAGCGTAAAGCAGTCTGTCGATCAGCAACATTCTGGTAAAGAACTCGTTGGAGGCGCTGGCAGATGGATCGAAAAAGGAAAATGCAAATTTGCTTGTGGATCCACAACCCATCAATTCGCAAGTGATTGTGATGTTTATCCGACCTTGTCAGACCGTAGGGACAGAATGCGTGAGCTGAAATTGTGCTTCAAGTGTTTTCAAATCCGTCTCGATGCTAACCACGAGACCAAATTCAGTAGAGTCTACTGTTTTTACTGTACGAACAATAACCGCATTTGTCAAGTAGATCATCATGTAACGGTGTTGTGTCCGTACATGTTCCTCAGTAGAGCAATTGTTAACCACTTCAGCTTGATACATCAGGTACTCATGGCAGATTAAGTTGGGTTTAGCTCATTGTAGTCATGGGACTACAATGAGTTAAACCCAACTTAATCTGCCAGAATCTGTCATGGGTATTCAGACTCTGGTGTAAAATGTCGTCCTCGTGACAGCCTCCATGTTCACGTAATTTTCTTCGCGGCCGAAGAGAGGCACCTATCGTTAACAGCGCGTTGCGCCTCATGTGTGGGAATGAGTGCTCGCTTGTTCGCTCTTCCTCTCGGCATGACAGAAAACGCGCAGGGAAACACTCTGATGTTCGCATGGCTGTGCGTCGTGCGATCGGTCAGCTAGTGGGGCCCTCGTAATTATCGCCAGGTGTGGACGCCACCTTTCCGGGCGGAGTGTCGTGGCCGCAGTCACGATGGACGGCGAGGGCGGGCGGAGCAGAGGATTGTAGGATAAAAGGGCATGAGTCATGACGAGAATGGTTTTTTTTCTTCCCTTCAGCGAGACCTTAGTTTATCCCGAGAATCCATTGTCGTGCTGCATGTCTGTGCTTTGAATTGTTGTTTGAACTTTATCGTCGATGTCTGATGAGACATGCTGTAAGAAGAATAAATCTAGAAGAAGGCCTGAACCACCTAATGACACGCGAGAATGCGAACAGCCGTATTCTAGACAGATGAGCGCTCGCATTTCTCTTCAAGAACTACTTCAACAAAACCAAGCACTGCTAAGAACTATTCAACAAATGGTGAACGAACAACACGCGGCAGTGCAATCACAAGTAACCATTGCTACATAGACTCTCATACCTTTAAAATAATACTCTTACTACTCTATTTAGCATAACGCAATGACTTGGCCCACCAATACACGGTGCTTCCCGTCCTAAATGCGCAGCCGCCCAACTGATAACGGATGTCAAACTCTACTCCAGTGCGAAGTCTTTCGCCTATCGCACACAAATCAAGAGTAGACATATTCACTCACGAGTTGTACTACGTTTTTTTTTACTATATTACTTGACACTTAATACTACTTTCTATTTGCAGTAATACAGTATTACTTAAAATGTATGTATTTCCTTTTGTGGTCTGTTCAATACCAATAAAATAAGTATGAATCATTTTCACCTACAATTAACACTCTACAATATTACGTAGTTCAAATAAGGGAACGCTTCGATCTGTATTCATACACGTATTAATGATGTAAAACCCTGGGGTCCACTCGCGTTATGCGGACGCAGCAATCATGCGCCGATCAATTCAGTTATGAATTAAGACAACATCCCTGACAAGCATGTAGCCTTTTCGCAGTGAATGAATCATCACCTACTGTATCCCCGCGCGCTCGCAGACCACCTACCTTTCTCATACCGCATGCTGCTATTACATCGCCACATTTTTTCCGCTATAATCTTGCATAATAATAATAATAATAATAATAATAATAAAATATAATAATAATAATAATAATAATAATAATAATAATAATAATAATAATAATAATAATAATAATAATAATAATAATATATAATAATAATAATAATAAGTAATAATAATAAAATAATAATAATAATAATAATAATAATACATGTCATACTATACGTATTTAAACTAATAATAAATGTCATCGTAAGATACATCATTTCTCCATAACTAACTTCTCCCTCTTTAGCTATGGTACGTGACAACGCTGTTGTGCTAAGCCGCGAGGATTACGAGCGCATCCTCGCAATAACTCAAAACCTTACGTATGCGATGGCAAATATTGTCTATCGACTTTACGACCTAGAACGACGGCACGGTGCGAAGAAAGGATCTATACTGCACTGACAAGAGCACACGAAGAACGTCATGAATATCAAGACCGATTCCAAAGGGAAGAACAATAATTGTATTTCTTTTACAGAGGAAAAAATAAAAGGTTGTCATAAACCGTATATCAAATTGATCTTGAGGGTGGAAGCCCGTACTACTTTATTGTATAGTGATATGAACTAATTACGCGCCACTCACTATTAAATAATGACTATAAATAAAATTTTCCTATCACTATCGTTACAGCTCGCAGAAAACTTCTCATTTCAGCATGAATCGCCAAGAACAGAATAATGAGAAAGACGTTCTTTTCGAACGTCTACAACGTCTTAACGACAAGTCCGGACTACTCAATTGCTATGCAGTGGTATCGATCGGCGTTTAGCCAATCTAGAGCGCATCATAGATCGAGCTACAACGCTTAACGAGCTCGAGCTGCAAGAAGAAGAGAATGACCGGACCAAATTGAAGAGATACTACCATATGGATAATGAATACTTCAGAAGGAATAAATTTGAAAACTGACTTTTCTATATCTACATGACATATACTATGACTACACACAATCTTAAATTTGGGCGAATAAGAATTCGTTGACGCCAGTTACTCCAGAATACAACCAATACCAACACATATACTAATTGATCCATAACAGTCCGAAAGTTGTCATCCCTATTGATCGAAATATCACAGGGAAAGGCCAATCAGCTCGCCCGATCGATGACTCATCGCTCTAACTCGCTACGATACCAGCTAGCTACACACCCACGGGGGGCCAATGAGAGAAGGTATACAGTAGCCACCCGCAACGCGACACTATTTGGACACAGTATTTGCGGCCGCGTGAAACGACACCGCAGATCAACAAAATAATTAATTTGTAGAACAAAATGCCATTAAATCAATGATATCATTTTAAAAATTAATAACAGATACTAATTACAGTATAAATTGTATAAACAAAAAAGGAATAAAAATAAATAACAAAATATGCAAAAAGTATTATATAATGGTATTGTTTTGTATAAATATACATATAATACACACTATCAATTCACATAGTCACATTTCCACACTAAAACCAATATTTTTCTCACTCTTTATGTCACCTTTTCAGTTCACGCCTTACTCGCCTCTACGATTTCGTGTTCTTCTAACGCGTTACTCATTACATTCATTTGGATATGACCGACAACCATCCAGTGCCACCCTACCCCTAACAGCCTGCAATACAGGAAGATTTGAACCCATCTAAACCCACTCAGCGCACATTAACAACAGTTATTCAACATAGCTCAGCATCAGCCAGTACTCAGACAGTCTAACACAACTCGAGATGTCATATTTTCATCACTTACTCTACTCCTTCAACATGAAATTAGACGCCGCCAAGAAGATTAAGGACATAAAGGTTCACCTTTTATGGCACATCTTCGTTCTGAACATACTTTATTTCCATACCTAGGCGCGTTATGCATAGTACTCTTTTAGCCATTATAATTCCGCTGTTCATTACACTAACTTGATATTAATAAACATCCTATAAAATATTTTGCTTTCCTTTCGCTACAAACATACATTCATAACATAACAGCCCAATAGAGTCTTCACAAGCCACTGCATTGAGCATATTAACTGCATTTGAAGCTTTTACCATTTTTCTTCCCACCTCACCAACTCGGTACCTACGCTAATAACACTTCGGCCGCCTTCTACCGGCTTCCATCTATCCACGGTCTCTGACCGATCCTCCGGCCCGCCCCTTGTAAAAACCGGTTTTTCGACCTCTACCCCCACCCCCCTCCCCCTCGAACGCTATAAATAGGTTCACCATTGCTCAATGCTCACTCGATTATTTT